CCAGGTCCCAAGGGCTCTCCCAGCTCTGACATTCAAAAAGGGCCCTCCCAGCTCTGACGTTCCAGGTCCCAAGGGCTCTCCCAGCTCTGACATTCCAGGTTCTAAGGACCCTCCCAGCTCTGACATTCCAGGTTCTAAGGCCTCCCCAGCTCTGACTCTCCATGGCTCTAGGCAGCTCCCTCCCAGGGTCCTCCAGGGACAGTGACCCAGGCAGAGCAGTATTTGGGTGTCAGTCACTCTGTCCCCAGCAGTGACCTGGTATGGAAGTTCTGCACGTTCACGTTCCGATAGGGCGCCGTCTTCCGTTGACACCACAGGAGCAAACCTTCTTTGGCTGAGGTCTCTGTGAGGAGGGCAGATGGGCCAGCAAAGTCAGCAGGGTCAGCGGGGTCAGCCCCACCCACTCAGCCCGGGCCTTACCTTCCACAGAGATGTCCTGGATGGCAAATCGAAGGATGATGGTCCAGATCATTCCCAAGGTCATCTTTAGGTTCCCATCCACGATCTCTGGGGGGAGAGTCAGGCCAGGGAGAGAGGAGATTTAACCAGAGCTTTCCCTCCCTCCCCTCCCCTGTTAGCCGGGTCACCTCACCTTCAGCCCCGATGGACACAAGCTTGACCCCTTTGCTGGCGATGAAGTCCAGGGCCTTGTTGACATTGGCAATCTTGTGGAAGCGCATCTTGCCTTTATCTGGCCTGGGCAGCCTCTCTCCTGCGACGTGAGAGAGCCAAGGTCATGGAGGCCACCAAAGACCGCAGCCTTTTCAGCTCAGTTCAGAAATATTATTATTAAACACCTACTGTGTGCTTGGCACTAAGATGACAGTCCTGCCCTCAGGAAGTTTACACTCTAACGGAGGAGACAAAGACTGGGTCTGTTATTTCATTGGTATTGGAAACTCGCCTGAGAGGGAAATAGTTCCGACCAATTCAGGTCAGCCCCTTTTCTGTAATTTAGCACCTTGGAGAGCTGCCTGGAGCAGAGGAGCCAAACACACAGCCCGTAACACTCCTGAGTACTGCTGGAACTGGGAAATATCGAACACGATAAATAAAAATGCAATAAAACAAAGATAATGTTTATACGGCTTAGTAGCTCCCGTTTCTATCTGAGTTTGACACCCTGGTCTAGATCACTGAAAGGTTAAGATACTTGCCCAGGGTCACACGGCCAGGATGTGGCAAAGATAAGACTCTATCCATTATGCCATACCGCTTTTCAAAGCGGGGAGGGGCAAGAAATTACACAAATAATTAGGTAATATATAAAATGCATGCGAGTCTACTTGCCAAGACGCCCATAGGCAAGGACACACATGTACAAAAATATTTATAGCAGCTTTTTGTGTGTGTGTGTGGTGGCAAAGAATTGGAAATTGAGAGGATGCCCATCCATTGGGGGATAGCTGAACAAGTTGTGGTATATGGATGTAATGGAATACTATCGTGCTATAAGAAATGATGAGCAGGCGGACTTCAGAGAAACCTGGAAAGACTCGTACGGTCTGATGCTGAGTGAAGTGAGCAGAACCAGGAGAACGTTGTACACACTAACAGTCACATGTGCAATGACTAACTTTGATAGACTTAGCTCTTCTCAGCAATGCAAGGATCTAAGACATCTCCAAAAGACTCATGATGGAAAATGCCATCCACATCCAGACAAAGAACCATGGAGTCTGAATGCAGATGGTAGCAGACTGTTTGCTCTCCTTTTCTTTTGTTGTTTTGTTTTATTTCTTCTTTCTCTTGGTTCCTCCCATTGGTTCTAATTCTTCTTTACATCATGACTAATGGGAAAATATGCTTAATATGAATGTATGAGTAGAGCCTATATCAGATTGCATGTGGTCTTGGGGAGGGAGGAGGAGACAAAAGGGAAGAAAATTTGAAACTTAAAATCTTATGGAAGTGAATGTTGAAAACTAAAAATTAATAAATTGTTTTTAAAAAAGACACACATAGGAACTATATGAACACAATTACAAAATACTGTCTCTATAAATAGGGATTTAAATAACTGGAGAAATATGAAATGTTCACGGGCAGTCCAAGTCAATACGGTAAAAATGACAATACTACTAAATTAATTTACTTACTTGGTTCCATGGCAATTGAACTACTAAAGAATTACTTTATAGAGCAAGAAAAAATAATAATGAAATTCATCCAGAGGAACACAAGGTAAAGAATTTCAAGGGAAATAATGAGGAAAAAAATGGGAAGGAAGGAGGCCTAGCAGTGTCGGATTTCAAACTATGCTACAAAGTTGCAATTATCAAAACAGTTTAGTACTGGATAAGAAATAGAGGTCGGTCAATGGAACCGATTAAATACATGATATACAGATGCAAATAAACACAGCAATGGAGTGTTGGACATACCAGCTATTGGGGCAAGAATTAACTATGAGACAAAAATTATTAGGAAAACTGGAATGTGATCTAGCAGAAACTAGGTCCAGAGGTTCCCAAACTTATTTGGCCCACCACCCCCTTTTCAAAAAAAATTACTCAGCCACTCCCTGGATGTTAGGTGGGGTTAATACTTATTTTTATTTAGTGCCCCCCAGTTACACTCAAGGCTACTACCACTGGTTCCCCCCTCCCCCCACCCTCGATTGTTCCAGCCCTCTCCCAGGGGTGGTATTGCCCACTTGG